TCAGTGTGGTGGCTTTTGGGTAGAGGACAAATTAGAGTAGTTTATGGCACTAACTCAAACATTTTAAATAGTTTTGTGGAATAATTTCTTTGGGGGCTGTCTTAGTTACTTTCTCATTGCTGGGACACAATACCCAACACCCACAACTTAAAGGAGAAAAGATTACTTTTAGTAGGTTTCAGTCTATATTCAGCTGGCTCCAAGAAAGGGTGGCATGACAGAGGGTCAGGGCAAAGGAGAAAGAGGTCACAGCATGGCAAGCAGGAAGCAGTAGAGCTCAAGGGAAGAGGAAGGATATACAATCCTTCCAGGCCATGCCCACAGTGACCCACTTCTTCTCATCAGCTTTCACTTCCCAATATCACACCCAGCTATAAACTCATCAGTTGGCTAATCCAGTATCACACACCCATGATGCAGTCACCTCCAAAAAGCTTCACCTATGAGTGTATAAGGCTTTAAGGGAACATCTAAATATAAATCATAATAGGGGCTTAAACTTGGGAATCTTGGAAATTACCTATAAATCTATATTGGTAGGTAGGGGTGCTTTATTTCCTTTTTTTTTCTTTTGCTACCGGGGATCGAACTTGGGTCCTTGTGTTTGCACAGCAGGCAGTGAAACCACTGAGCTAAATCCCCGGCCACTGTGCTTTATTTCTTAATAATTATAATGGGCACAAGAGTACAAAAGCATAAGGCACACTACCTTAGGACAGTAAAAAAATCACTAAAATCTACATACTGTTTAATAGCTTTGCATGATCATTGGACATGCATAACATTATTTGACCATTTCAATAACTCTGAAGTTTGTACTTTTATTACTCTTTTAAGATAAAATAAAACCTGTGGCATAGTATCAACTGACACATCAAAGGTCATACCTACTAAAAGTAGAGCTGAGATTTAAATCCAGATCTTCCAGTTCTAACTTTGGTGATTCCAGCTGGGGACGAGTATGCTTAGAAGGGGATGCTAAGAGGACTGTCCTGTGTAAATGAATGTGCCAAAAGAGGCAAGGAAGGGCTGGGGATTTAGCTCAGTGGCTCCACTGCCTGCCTTGCAAGCTCAAGGACCCAAGTTTGATCCCCAGTATCAAAAAAAAAAAAAAAAAGAGGCAAGGAAAATAGAAGGCCCTTCAGAAAACAGAGACCTAGAAATAGAGAATGCACTCTGTGACCATCAAGAGCCCATCTGCTTTCCTCTTTCCCATTCATCTGCCTGTACATATTATACACTTTTATTTGTGATGAGACATTTTCACAGAAGCCCTTCCAAACCACCCAGGGTTGAGTTAGGTGCCATCCCCTAAGGCACAAATTTTGATATTATTATAGTGTTTATCACTCTGTGTCTTAGTCTATTTGGACTGCTATAACAAAACACCATCAACTGGGTGGTTTATAAACAACAGAAATTTATTTCTTATGGTCCTGCAGGCCAGGAACTCCAAGATCAAGGCACAGGCAGATTTGGTGCCTGGTGCAAGCTGCTTCCACATAGATAGCTGTACCCTCACCTGGCAGAAGTAAGGGATCACTTTGGAGTCTCTTTTATAAGAGCTCTTGTCCTATTTATGAGCCCTTACAACCCAATCACCTCCCAAAGGTCCCATTGCCTAATATTATTGCCAAGGGGGGGTTAGAATTTCAGTATATGTATTTGGTGGTGGGGTTTGTCATTAGCAGTTATTTGTATTCTGAATTAGTATTGCTTACTTGTCAGGTTCCTGCACTTAAGTGTAAACTCCTTGAGGATTTGTATTTTGTGCCATTCACTGACAGGGCATCAAACCCTAACAAAATGTCCAGCTTTATTAAGCAATCAACAAACACTTGCTAAATGGAAGAAAATATTATGAGTTCTCCATTTGAGTATTTGTATTTTGTGGTATTCATTGACAGGGCATCAAACCCTAACAAAATGTCTGGCTTTATTAAGCAGTCAACAAATACTTGCTAAATGAAGAAAACATTATGAGTTCTCCGTAGGAGTTAAAATGGAAGGAAGATACTGGCTTTTGACCTAATGATAACAAAAAAATCAGTGAATAGACTGAGCTGGAGACCCCAAAAGCGACCATGCCAGGTGCAAAGGACCTCTTGCTTGATATTTACATATTGAACACTGACATTCCCAACTGTCTCTTTATTTCCAGACTTGGACTCTACATCATCTGATTAATGAGCATTTCCACTATTACATTACCTTGCTGCTGGCCAGCATCACTCAGTTCAATTAGTTGACTTGTGCAGTTAGTGACATATAGCATGTTGTAATTACTCACGCAAAACTCCTTCTAAATTGTCAACTCCTCTATCTCAGGCACTGACCATTACTTTATTTCCAGACCCTTGATTTCTGATTCTTGATCCCCTTTTCCCTTCTCATCTATCACCTGTCTTCCCTTGTCAGCCCTTCTCTACCTAGCCTCAACTATAAACAGCTTCTCAGCTCCCTTTACCTTAAATGCATAATAAAATTACATCCCCACCAAAAGACTTCTCAGGTTGTAAACAATTTGTGATGCAAGTGTTGCCCCTAGGAACCCCTAGTATCCAGCCTCAGCAGAATCTCTGTACCAGCCCTTGTCCTCTCAGAGCATCTTTTCCAACAGTCACTTTCCTCACACTCCCCGTTTTGCTTGTTTGGCTGGTCAGTTTTTGTTTTGGCTTTGGGGAGATTTCTTTTTGTTAGGAGGATTTACTTGTAGTACTGGGGATTGAACCCAAGTCTTCCCCTCACACTGAGCTAAATCCCCAACACTTTTAAGACACTTTTGAGACAAGGTTTCACTAGATTGCCAAATTATCCGGGCTGGGCTTGAATTTGTGATCCTTCTGCATCAGCCTCCCAGAGTGCTAGGCTTATAGGAATGCACCACCACTCCCAGCTTTCAAATTCATTTCTTCATTTTAGGGAATTCCTTCCCACCCTCACTCTTAACAAAGACATTTTCTCCTTTTTTGCTGAAGCCATGGAGACCTTCAACTTAAATTTCCAGCACTCTCCCCCTCCTTCAATATCTGCATCTGTTTTCATTTCTTAGTGAAATAGCTTTTCTCCTATCCACTTATCCTGCTGCCTATTTGAATTTGTGATCTACCAACTTCCTCTAATTCTCTTTTCAATTTTTACCTCTTCCCCGGAGAATTCCTTTGTCTCACTATACTACTGGAATGCCTACTTACTAACTTGTAGAGAGAAATGTTAACTCAAAGAGAACAAATGTTTGCATCAGTGTGATCCGTTTATTGTGGAGGCAAAGGATAGAGCGTATTGTTTAAGCTTGCAGACTCTGGATTTAGAAGTGCATTGCTCACTATTTATGTGATGTTAGTCAAGTTAATTGATATTTCTGAACCTCAGTATCTTTATATATAAAATAGGGTAAGAACTAGGACCTAGTTTATAGGGTTGTTTTGAAAATTAAATCAAATTATCAATGTGCTTAGTATTAGCTATTACAGTTCTTGCTTTCCCTCTCAATATGTAAGTTAAGACAGATATTAAAATTATCATGAAATGATTGCTTAGTGAACATGAACTATTTTCCCACAGATGGTTGTTTATTCAGTTGTTTAATGACCCAATGTAGAGACCAGAGTGCTCAATCTCAGAGAAGGGTGCACTTTTATGGACTCTTTAGAACCCTATTATTTATCAGCATTACATTTGACACTCTTGGACTCTTGCTCTTTAGTCTTCTCTCTTCCACTGGCTTTTCTTAGTTTTAGTCCTATGTTCTCATAAACAGAGAAAATAGGGTTTTTTTGTTTGTTTTTGTTTTATATTTGTGGTACTGGGGATTGAACTCAGGACCTTGAGCTTGTGAAGCAGGCACAGCGGAGAAAATAATTTCTGTCCTTCATTCCAACTGTTGGAATTGGTGCTTCTTTTCCTCTTCTGCCTTTATATGCTTTTCCTGTGTAACCTCATTTCTACCTGTGCTTTTTAACCATCAAATCTATAACTCTGGCACTACTACTATGAGTTCCAATATCATAAACTTAACTGTTCAATTCCTCTTGGCCATTCCAAGTATCAATTGAAATGTCCAAAATGGAATTAGAGAGATCTCCTATTTTTCTGGACTTTCTCCCTTCTGGTATTTCCACTTTAGCTGAGGCAACAAACCTTATCTCTGGTCTCTTGTTAATGCTTCACACAAAATAGATCAACTAACTCTTTCCTAAACATCTATTGAATTTGGTCCTTCTCTCCAGTCCCACTACCTTAGTAGCCATCATCATCTCTCTCCAAAATTTCTGCAATAGCCACCAAATAGACTTCCTGCTTCCAGTCTGTTTGCCTCACATCCATTAATCTTACACTCCTGCATATCCCTAGCACCAGAACAGTATCTTCCACAAAGTAGTCATGCAATCAATATTTGCTAAATGGATGAATGAGTGAATGAATGAACTCCTATCCTGAGTTTACAGTCCAGCTGAGACATCAACAATACAGAAGTATTACTAAATATTGGGGCAATGTCACAAAGCATTCTATAAAGGATTGGGACCCTGATCCAGCTAAGAGTTTCAAGTGCTGACTGGCTGAGGTTCTATTGCATAACGGGCCCAAGAGACTAGGAGAAGACAGTTTACACAGTGAGACCCAAGAGAACAAATATATCAGGTAGTTAATTCTTAGTCTCTTAGTGATGCCTCCAATCATTTATAATGGCTTTTAAATTGCCATGATGATTTGAGTGGGAAAAGAGCAAACTGACTTAGTTGGAAAGAAGTAGGAATGATGGAAAAAAGAAAGAACAGGACTTATTTATATATATTAAGTTCATGAAATCTTTTAGAGTTACTTATGGATTCACATGCAGTTGTACGAAATTATAGAGAAATCTTGTTTCTTCTTCAAGTAGTTTCCTCCAATGGTAACATCTTCAAAATTATAATACAATATCATATCCAGGAAACTGACAGTGATACAATCCATTTATATGCACTACTGGATTTGAATATTTAGGATCTATGTAATTTTATTTATTTATTTATTTATTGGTACCAGGGATCGAAGTCGGGTAGATCTATGTAATTTTAACACATGTACAGATTTGTGTGGCCACCATTACAGTCAAGAACAGAATAGTTCCATCACAAGGATTCATGATCGTACCTACACTTTAATAACCACACCTACTCTCCTCCAAACCCCATCCCCTATTGATCCCTGTTAACTGCTAATCTGCTCTCTATCTTTATTTTTCACTGGTCAGGGCCAGAAGAAGCCCAAAGCAGAGATGAAAGTTGTAGGTTCCCTGGCTTCCATTACAGAAAATTAACTTTTTCTTCTTTTCTCTTCTCTTCTCTTCTCTTCTCTTCTCTTCTCTTCTCTTCTCTTCTCGAGACAGGGTCTTGCAACATAATTCAGGCTGACTTTGAATTCACTATGTAGCCCAGGCTGGCATTGAACTTGGCGATCCTCCTGTCTCAGCCTCCCAAGTGCTGGAATTACCAGTGTGCACAATCACACCCAGTCAGAAAATGAATTTTCAAGATGCATCAGTAAGGGGCATAAGGAGGCTTATTAGGCAGAATTTTAAAAGTACACACTCAAAATAAAGTCCAGGCCCTGAAGAGAAAGAGGCACATTATGGCTGTGAGCTAGTACATTATTATGGTCTTAGGGGTAGAAGTCTATGGAAAGAAAGGGTTCAATTTACAAGTGAAAGATGATGTCACTTCTATAGGTGAAAAGTCCATTTTACAGGTAAAAGCCACTATACACAGGTGAAAAGCCCTTCCTACAAGTGAAAAGCAAGGGCCCACACTTACTGTGTCTTTAGGACCCTTAGGAAGTGTGGGGGGTGAGTTTATTGGAAGGCAAAAAGGCCTGAGTAACTTCTTGTCCTGACACTTATTTTTCTTAAAAGTATAATTTAAAAATTATAATTTTCTTTGTCTCCTTTCTACCCACCTTAATTTCTCCTATCCTACCTCAATTTCAAGATTATATAAATGGAATTATAGAACACTTTTTTTTCACTCAGCATATTTCCCTTGAGATTCAAAGTTTTTATATTAGTTGCTCCTTTTTCTTGCTTAGTATTCTGCTGCTTAAGTAAATGTACTGTAGTTTATTCATTCCTTCAAGGACACTGAGAAATCCACTATAAACATTTGGGTGCAGGTTTTGTGTGAACATAAATCTTCATTTCTTTGGCATAAATGCCTAGGATTGCACTTGCTGTTTTATGGTGCATTAGTTAGCTTACCTGTTGCTGGTACAAGATACTCAACAACTGCAATTTAAAGGAGAAGAGGTTTAATTTGGTTCATGATTTGATAAGGTTCAGTCCATGGTTGGCTGGTTCCAAGATAGGAACATCATAGTGGAAGGATGTGGGACAACAAAGCTGCAAAGGGAGAAAGCAGAGACAAGGGAGGAATACTATCAAGAGATACACCTTCCAAAGGAATGCCCCCAGTGACCCACTTCCAACTGGGCCCTACATCCTAACAGCACATTTAGCTACAAATATCAGTGGATTAAGCCACTGATCACTTTAGCAACACTTAACTAGCCTAAAAAGCTGCACTGTCTAAACCCATAATGTCCAATGATGAACCTGAAGTCAGTAAGTTCTGAAAACCAGTTTTCTTCATTGTCACCATGCTGGTGACCCAAGGAAAGGCAGGATTATTGCAGGTGAATACTGTTATTGTTAAAAGCCTACTATGGACCAAGTTCTGGACTAGGATCTAAAGATTCAGAGATGAGAAGGCATGCTCTGCCTTTAGAAGGTTAGTTTAATGGAGGAGACAGTTAAATAAACAAATACTAACAACCAAGCATGCTAGGTGCCAAGATAGAGCTCTTCCAGGATGCAACTATCACAAAAGAAGGAATAAAAAAATAGGCAATTTGAAGAAATCTTCCTGGAAAACACTTATGAAGCCTCATTTAAGAAAACATCTTTGCTGGGCCAGGGATTTAGCTCAGTGGTGCCCTGAAAGGTCCTGAGTTCGATCCCTGGTACCAAAACAAAAAAACAAACAAAAAAGAATATATCTTTGGTATAGTTGATAGTAGGTCCATTTCTTATATTACAACACATTTTCCAACCTCTCAGAATTTAGTCTGCCAACACTACACCTGTTAGGCAGGTAGTTAGACCTTAATGGGGCTGAGGGAAAAAAGGGTAGGGGTGTAAAACAGCATGTCTTTCCAGTTACACTTGATTTTAGCCAAAAGACCAAGAAGCAATAACATGTCTTTCCAGTTAAGAAACAAAGACTTCAATATATAATACATTCATAATCATTTGTTAGGTCTCAGACCTAAGTTGACCCCACAGAGCAAAATGACATTTTAAGGTTACATGTTGTATGCATTCCTTCTGATACCTGGCCCCCTGTCTCTAGTTTTATTATTTTGTATTTATTCGGTACTAGGGATTGAACTCAGGACCTTGCACTTGCCAAGCAGGCAAGGCACCACTGAGCTATATTCCTGGCCCACTGACTAATTTTAAAACAAGTTCTACAGCCCAATGATGTCAGGAAAGAAAATATTCTCATGCTTTGGCCTGGAATCTGGTTTAAATTAAGAATTTATGTTTTATAGATTTCTTTTGTAAGTTTCTTACCTGATTAAAGCCCCTAAGGAAACAATGACCATCTAAAAAGGACAAGAAGACATTTTGCAATTCCAAAGTAACTTCTAAGTAAAACGCTGATAAGCACCATAATTACCCTAGTTCCCTGAAGCCCAGGAGTAACTCTTATGTGAATAAAAAGAAATCCCGGCTCACACTTGGTGAAGATTCCTTTGTGGTATGGCCCATCTTCTCTCTTAAAAGGTATAACTCTCTCTAAATTTACTTTATAATAAATTATACCTATACTTCTGCACAGCTGCCTGTGTCTCGTGACTGGAAGTGAGGGGCCAGTTCCTTGTTGCACCAGGACCAGGCTTCCTAGGGACATGAATAAGAAGATCTGTAGTGGAGGAGGAGCATTTTTAGATTATTCTTTTCTTGCCATTTTGCAATACTTAGCACCTTTTGCAATAGTTAGTTTATGATAATTCCCAAATGCTTCTGAATCCCTGTGGTATCTTGTACCTTTTCTGTAAAGTGGGAATGCTAGAATGTCTATTTCACAAGGTATTAAGAATTAAATAGGCCAGGGATTTAGCTCAGTGGTTCTGGCACCTGGCCATGCAAGCACAAGGTCCCGAGTTCGATCCCTGGTACCAAAAAAGAAATAAAATGATAAAGGTAAACATTTGACACAGTGACTGGCACATAACAATACACACAATTGCCATGGCCCCTGTGGCTGAAGGGTTCACGGAGAAAGGATGGTTGAAGATTAAGAAAAACAAAGAGATCTAAGGTGGGGCCAGGTGGGGCTCTAACTACTGATGGGAGAAAAAGACTGCAGGCAAATGGCTGAGTGTTTATTTATACTGGTAGAGATAAGGGAAGTGGGGTGTGTGTGTGCAAAAGGGGCTGGTCTGTAACCAAAGCCAGGAGAGTAGCTAAGGTCTGCTGGACATCATGCATGATGGTTTTCTGATGAACGGGCAGGGAGGAAGCCAGTCCTCTTCTTAGCCAAGCCTTGCACCACCAGAACCTCTTGTCGCCTGTTCTCCTCCCATAGACCCCTGCCTCATCCACGGGAGGCTGTGAGTTAGGCCTGGCCATAGTGATCTACAGCATAGTGCTCCCAGCACTCCATAAATACTGGCTATTATTATCACAATCCTAAATATATCCACATTATCCCCAAGTCCATCTTTCACACATAAGACCAGGGCTAAAGTTACATAATAGCAAATAGGGAAAAACCGAGGATATCTCTGAATTATCCAACTTAGCTAACAAAAGAAGGCTGCAGAGCCCAGGTCCCGAGCCTCATGTTGGGGCCCCACCTGTAGCCAACCCACCCTGCCAGCCTCTTCCAGGATCTAGACCCACTACTTTGCTCTCCCCGACAGGGGCAAATGAGAGGATGAATGACAAAGAGACACGGAGTCAGTATGGCAGGCAGGCAACCTGGGGGTTCTTGCCTCCTAGCAGACAGAGGAGCACCCAGCATCTGGTTTATCTTGCCTTTATTTACCCAAACTCGGGCACAAGCAATCAAAGTAATACAGTAACATGAGACTCATCTGCTTTCCAATATCGATTAGTACATGCTCGGGTAAACAACTTAACCTCAGCTGTCTTGTTTTCCTTGGAACCTGCAATATGCAATCACCCCTGAGTGCAGCCTTTCTCCTTTGTGTTCACAGAGGAGACCAATTAGGCCTCAATTCTCCTCTGGTCTTCTATACACCCTCACCTTTCCAAGGATCCAGAATAACCTTACCTTGACATAGGAAAAGTCCGTAGTGTTAGAAAAGGTGTTATCCAATACCTATGGTACAAGAGGAAACAAAAAGGTGATGAGTACAAACAAATGTTTGGGACAAAGTCAGGACATCTAAGTCAATAAAGCATTCAGGAATAGTCTTTGAGTTTTTAAGTATAGTTTATGGAGCCCTTCTATGTAATACAGTAGTGCAGGGCAGAAGACTGATAACTACATACAACAATGGATTTCAAAATGTTAGGAGCAAAACTTAATTTTTGTTATTGTTTTCATTTTTTGAGACAGGGTCTTACTATGTAGTCCAGATTGGCTTTGAACTCCCTATGTGGGCCAGGCTGGCCTCGAACTTTTGATCTTCTTGCCTCAGCCTCTTGAGGGCTGGGACTACAGGTACACACCACAAATTTTAAATGTAATATTGTCTAACGGCAGCATGAATCATTTATTCATGCTTTTCCTTATTAAAGCCATTTTTCTTATTCATTGAGATGAAGAATAATGTTTTGTTGGTGAGTTGAGAAAATGACTAATCAGTGTTTTTTGACCCTGAAATGATTCTGGTCCTGAAAGATGGAAAAGCATTAAACACTATTTAACTCAGAGGGCTAAAATCAGAATTTGTAGAAATGGTTCAACCCAACAGTAAAGAAATTTATTTTTCCCTCTTTATTACTCATACTCTTCCTTCCCTTGGCATTGGTGTCTTAAGGCCTGACAAAAACAAGAATTCACATCCAAATTACTACAAATGTGTTGTACCGTGATAGACACTAGCCACATGTTCCTTAAAGCACTTAAATGAACCTAATCTCAAATGAGATGTGCCCTAAGTGTAAAATACGTTGAATTTCAACTGAGAAATTATTCATATTTTTATATTAATTACATGACAAAATGATACCACTTTGGCTATATTGGGTTAAATGAAATATATTAAATTTAATTTCACTTTTTACTCGTTTATATTGTGACTCTGGAATATTTACAATTACATAAGCGGCCTGCATCTGCACCTCGCATTATATTTATATTGAACAGCGCTAATAGATGAAGGGAGAGCTGCAGTGAGCATTTTAAAATTTCTGGAGAGGAAGAGACAAGGGAACAGTTGAAACTTGGTCGCAGATGTGACCTACTGCTGTAAATACATAGTGTGAACAGAAAGGGAACCAGCATATTTTGACTGACTTCTGCTCCCCTCCCCGGCAGCTAACGGAGCAGGTGGCAAAGCTTCTTCCAGCGCCCAGGTCCCCACCAGTCCCGGGCTCGGCGGGAGCGGGGCATCTAGCCCACCTACTCGCCCAGGTGCGCCGCCGCGGCCGCCGCCGCCGCCGCCGCCACCGCCGCCGCGACCCCCTTGAAGCTCGCGCCCCTCCCCCGCCCCGGGCTTTTATTTTCCAGCATCAACCGTCAGCCTCACACGTCTCGGGGCCGACCCACCGAGGAGGTCGGGCCGGCCCGCCTCAGGTAAGCGTCCCCCACTTTCCCCACGCCTGGGCCGGGGAGCCGAAATGCCAGGGCCCAGGTGCGGACGGGACCGGCCCGCGGGCGAGACGCCTCTCGGCAAGCGGTCTGGGAGCCGCAGCTGCGGGCCATTCGCGGCGGGAGGGCGCACGGCCTCCGGGCCGCAGGAGGCCGCTGTGACCCGCCATGGCCCCGCCGCTCCGAGGGCGGGGTCGGGAGGTTTGGGGGAGAATCCGAAAGCGGAGTCAGCGGTGGGGTCCCGGCGCCGGAGCTGCCGTCCGTTCCGCCCAAGGCAAGGAAGGAGCCGAGCGGCCCGCCGCCCTCCTTCTCCATGAGGCCTGAGTGAGGCGCAGCGGCGAGAGCCGGCCCTCGGCGCCTCCCCCGCGTCCTAGCCGGAGCGCAGCGGCCGCGGCCCCGGAGGAGGAGGAGCATGTCGGACGGTTTCGATCGGGCTCCAGGTGCTGGTCGGGGCCGGAGCCGGGGCCTGGGCCGCGGAGGGGGCGGGCCTGAGGGCGGCGGGTACCCGAATGGAGCGGGGCCTGCGGGGCGCTCGCGGCACCAGCCGCCGCCGCAGCCCAAAGGCCCGGGCTTCCTGCAGCCTCCGCCGCTGCGCCAGCCCAGGACGGCCCCGCCGCCAGGGGCCCAGAGCGAGGTCCCCGCCGGCTCCCAGCGGCCTCCCCGGCCCGGGGCGCTCCCAGGTACGGAGCAGCTCTAGGCGACCCGGTCCACTCGGGCCCGCGCTTCCCCGCGGCCCTGCGCGCGTGCCGGGGCCCGGCCTGGCGACGTATCCTCTGCCCGCGGTTCCCCGAGAGCATCCCCGAGGGGCCCGCTCGCCACGGCGGAGGAACGAGCCGGGACCCCGTGGGAAGGTGGCTGCCAGCTGGAATCCTTTGTGCACCCCGGCTGGGGGGGAGGGGCGAGCGCGGTCTCGGAGTTCGGGCGTCCGGGGAGAAAGTAATATCGCCGCCCTCTCCCCAGCCAGGTGCAGTGTGCCGTGAGGTAGCAACCACCGTTTTAACCAACTCCTTGAAACGGAGAGGGAGAAATAGCCCTCAGGCGTTCGGGGGGGGGGGCGTTCTTCATAAAAGGGCTAAAGCAAGTCTATTGTTCTTTTTTGAAGTGTCTTTGTACATATTTTGGCCACAATCTTAAATTTTAATTCTTACAAGCCGCTGCTTCTCAGATGGTTTTTCAGCATACAGTAAGATATTATGCGAATGAATACATCTAACACTGCTTTTTTTTCTTAGAACAAACGAGGCCCCTGAGAGCTCCACCTAGCTCACAGGATAAAATCCCCCAGCAGAACTCAGAGTCAGCAATGGCTAAGCCCCAAGTGGTTGTGGCTCCTGTGTTAATGTCTAAGCTGTCTGCCAACGCCCCCGAGTTTTACCCATCAGGTTATTCTGCTTATACAGTGAGTACACAATTTTCCTCAAATCTTGGGTTAATACTGTAGGAATACAGTAGTGTTTGAGTATGGTGGTGCTTTCTGTACTGCACATTTGAAAACATTAATTCATTGCACTCGTGGAAATAACTGACGCAAGTATTTTGTAATTACAGTTAAAGTATCAGTAAACTTGAGGGTAAGAATTCTTGTTTGCTTGGTTCACTGCAGTATTTTCAGCATCTTTAGGGTATCTGTTAGCCGATAAATCTGATGTGAAAGACATCTTCAATTTGTAAAACTATATTTCTAAATTTTATGGACAGCTTGTAGAATAGCGGCCAAGCAAAGCTGATTTCATTTTAGCGAGGTGGGTAAATATTCATTAGTGGTTTAAGAGTAAATGTGATGTAGCTTTCTGCATGTGGAGAAATAATACATCTAGGCTCATTTCTACTGATTGTTAGTTCATTATGTTAAAATGGAAGTGTAGTGCGAGTTACCTATTGCCGAAATGTTGGGAGGGGTTTTGATAAGGTTTTTACATAGATTATGAAGAGCTTTTAAGTTTTTCAGTTTCATCTTTGTCAATAATGATTCTTTTTTTTTTTTTTTTTTTTTACCGGGCATCGAACTCGGGTCCTTGTGCTTGCCTGCTTGGGTGAAACCACTGAGCTAAATCACCGGCCCAAGATCTGACTTCTAATAGTTTGTTTTGTTAAACAAATTTCTATCTATGTTCATACTTTTTTCTTCTATTATCTTTATCCAGTTTCAGTATTAGCACAACGTTGATTTCCTAAAATGGGGGTAGAAGTGTTCCTGTTTTTTTCTGCTTTCAATGTTTGATATAATTCATCAGTTAAAATGTATATGAGCCTGTTGTTGTCATATAGGTAGGTTTTCAAGCTAGGAATATACTTTCTTTAATAGGTGCTATTCAAATTTTATATTTCT